CCAGGAGGGCCAACGTGTCCTGGGGGCATCAGGGAGGGGATTGTCCCACTCTGCTCTGCCCTGGGGCGGCCTCCCCTCAACATTGGGGCAGTTTGGGGGGACACAATGGAACAAAACCATTGGAGAGTGTCCAAAGGAGGCCACGAGGATGGGGAAGGGTCTGGAGGGGCCTTATGAGGAGCAGCTGAGGGCACTTGGTTTGTTCAGCTGGAGAAGAAGAGACTGAAGTCAGACCTCATTGGGGTCTTCAACATCCTCCTGGGGGGCAGCTCCGATCTCTGCTCTTTGTGAGCAGGGACAGGACCCTGGAACAGCTGGAGCTGTGTCAGGGCAGGGTCAGGTTGGATCTCAGGGGAAGGTTCTTCCCCCAGAGGGTGGTTGGCTCTGCCCAGGCTCCCCAGGGTTTGGTCACGGCCCCAAGGCTGCCAGAGCTCCAGGGTTGTTTGATCAGTGCTCTCAGGGACAGGGTGGGATTGTTGGGGTGTCTGTGCAGGCCCAGGAGCTGCACTTGATGGGTCCCTTCCAGCTCATTATAGCCTCTGATTCCACGTTGCTCTTTAGGATCTGATCAGGTGTCATGGGCAGGCCAAGCCCCTCCTGCCAGGTGTTATTTTCCATCTCAAAGGCAAAGCCACAAACAGCTCTGCTGGGAACACCAAACATGCTGCTCCTTGGCTTCTGTGCTCTTAGCACAGGATGAACTGGCTCCAGCAGCCCCTCACCTGCAGCCCTGGGAGCACCAGACTCTCCCACGCTGCCAGAGAGGCTCCAGAACATTCCATGCCAAGGATTCCCGCCAGGAGCACCCTCTGTGCCCCTCAGCTGTGCCACCAGCCAGGCCCTACCTGCTGCTGCCACCACGATGTCGGCACGGATCATGTGCTGCTTCAGCTGCTCCTTGGGGGTGTAGCGGTGGGAGATCGTGACCGTGGCATCACCTGGGAGAGGGATTCCATGGAGCTTTAATTCCCAAACCCAGCCAGTTCTCTGCATCTTCCCCTTCCAGACCACCCCTGTGTTTAGCAGGAACATCAGGGCCTGCTGACAAACCCCAGGGAACAGCCTATGGAGTCAGAGGGAAGGACTTGGGATGGAAGGGGACAAGGACTTGATGAAGGAGGCTCCAAAATGTTACAAGAAGGCTCAGGGAAGACCTTATTGGTCTCTACAACTTCCTGACAGGAGGCTGGAGCCAGCTGGGTGTCGGGCTCTGCTCCCAGGGAACAAGGGACAGGAGAAGAGGAAACAGGAAGGGGAAGTTTAGGTTGGATATTGAGGAAATTCCTTCAAGAAAAGGGTTGTTAAACACTGGAACAGGCTGCCCAGGGAAATGGTGGAGCCACCATCCCTGGAAGTGTTCAAAAAACATGTGGATGTGGCACTTGAGGACATGGTTTAGTGGTGAACATGGTGCTGGTTGATGGTTGGGCTTGATGACCCTTAAGGTCTTTTCCAACCTTAACAATTTTAGGACCATGTGCAGAATTAACTCCCCAGCCTTGGCCAGGTTCCTGAGGAACCCCTGGGATGGCTCTAGGAGCCTGAAGAGGGCAGTGGGACAGGTTTCCTACCTCCGGGCCGCTCGTGTTTGCCGTCGGTGTGGAGCAGCATCGCGATGGGCATCCCCACGTTCTTCGACCTCCCGGCCACCACCACGTTCTTGCCCAGCGTTGGGATCCCTGCAGAGGGCAAGATCAGAGAATCATGGAGTATCCTGAGTTGGAAGGGACCCATCAGGATCATCAAGTGCAGCTCCTGGGCCTGCACAGACACCCCAACAATCCCACCCTGTCCCTGAGAGCACTGATCAAATAACCCTGGAGCTCTGGCAGCCTTGGGGCCGTGACCAAACCCTGGGGAGCCTGGGCAGTGCC